CCATTCACTGGGTTTTTCAAGTTGATTTCAGTTTCCCGTTTTATTTTCTACATCTATGAACTGTTGGGGGTGTGGGGGTGGGGGGGGGGGGGGGGTGGCATTAGTAACATGAGGAGTCCCAAAGAAAGCTCACTGCTTTTCAGAACATTTTCAGATTTCCCATAAAAGATTTCCATTCAAGTAAATACATGTTTTTATACTTTTTTTTTCAGAAACAATAAAAAACAACAAAAAATTACGTAAATTGCAAATATTGACCATTCAGCCTAACCAGTCCATACTCCACATGAATCTTTGACCTGCTTCTTACTCTCTCACATATCCTTCTATTCCCTTCTCCCTCATGTGTACATCTACTTCTAAATGAAAACAATAAATTACAAATGAGTGTACTATTTCAAATGTCTCAAAACTAATTATTTACTCCAGATGTGCATGTTATTTGCCATGGTTTATCCCATTAGCCTGAATCACCCTGCATCACACATCACTAACCCATTCGCTACATGATGGAATGAATTTTAAGTGATGAAATCTCCCTCTCGTTTCAAAGGACAGCCTGGGATCTCTGGATGATTTGCGACTTTAATTAAAGTTTTTCCAGTCAGTTGAGCATGACTGTAACAGGAATATATTTCATAAAAAGGCATTTTAACAGAGCTGTAGCTGCCACTCATTTGTTCCCATAGTTTTTCATGTCCAATTGAGGGAAGCTCAAAATATGAATCAAACTTCAAAGACTGAGAGCATGTGGCAAAGTATTTGCAAGTAGTTTGTACAATCTACATAAAACAACAGTAAATCAGCTTTTCAATTACCTGAGGTATCTCAACAAAAAGGTCAGTAAAAAACTAGAGGATACGCCTCCTCTTGTCCCATTGCTGCTAAGACGGGAGGAAAGAGCTAGTGGACAATATTCATTGAAAGCGGTTCAGACAAGTACTTTAACTAAAGGAAGATGATATCTGCTACCCTCACTGGTATTTGATTCAAGGTAAAACTTATCCTCTCAAGGAGGCTCACCGTTTCAGTTCTCCTAATGTGAGCGAGTGACTCTCCATTCCCTCCGCCCTTCCATGTTTCTTTGCATGCAAGTACTACATCATATATGGTGGTATCACTTTTAGAAGGAATTTCAGGAAGACCCTTATCAATTGAACACAACAACTTGCATTTATATTGTGTCCTTCATGTGGGGTAATATCTCAGAGTGCTTTACATGGACAGGTTTGGATGCTGAACGAGGAAGAAAGTTGAGGTGGCCATAGGCACATTCAAAGAGGTAGGATTTGAAGGGGGACTTGTAAGTATTTCAAACTACATTGCTGTTAAGTGCTCCGAGACACTACCCGCATGAAGGGTGCTATTATAAATGCAAGTTGTCGCTGTTAATTATAGGCAACCAGATACTTTGATATAATTACTGTATTTTATTGAGAATTCTGCTGTAGCAGAAACATGTGAACATCCAAGCAGTAAAACTGAACTCTGTGAAGGATTCTCCACTCCTGCACCAGGTTTAATGATTCTTTTTGCTATTTATAAGGGACAGAATTTATCAGTGTGCAATCGCCATTGTGTGTCTTTCAGCGAGCCTCAATCTCTCCTCCTCACACTGACAGCAAAAAACAGTAGAAAAACCTGAAATGTTCCGAGTTTGTGAGTGATTAAGATTGATCTATGTGATAGCACACTGAAGAAATGTGGTTTGACTGTTTTAAAAACTATTTGAGTAAACATATTGAACCAGCAGATAGGTTAAATGCTCTGCACTACCAGAATCATTTGATCACTTCAACACATCATTAAATTTGCCATCATATTAAAAGGTCATGCTTTGTTATCATGCCATTTATTGTCTAGTTTACATTGGAAGCTACGTTGCTTAGTTCCTAGATTACACTCTTCTTTCTAACAATTTTCTATCCATCATTGGGGCTTTCAACCTTTCTTCCCCCACTGTCTGGCACTCCAGCCTCCCTCCGACTCGTTTCCTCCCTCACCTCATTCAAGGTGCATCTCATGTCCCACCTCTATGACCACACTTTCAGTCATCTTTCCCCTCCCCATACTCTTTGGCTCCCAGCACCAGCTCTGGTGCCAAGTCAGTATTGTTGAACACCTTGGGACGTCCTCCTGACCTGCAAGATGCTATATAAATGTAAATTTATAATTCTAGGAATTGGGATTTGTTGTTTTACTCATTAGGATCACACCTTTGACCTGCTGAGTGTTCCCAGCCACTTCTGCTTTTGTTTTCAGTATCACACCTTTGGTTGTCTTGACAAAATATTCCATCCCTGTTTTACAAATTAATTTTGTTTAATAGCATATAATTGGTCTGATTTTTGAGGACCAGTTCCTTGCTGCTTTTCAGCCAAGGTAAGGTATGGGTGAACTGGTAAATCTTATCAGTCCTGCTGTGTATATTTAGGAATGGTTTACAGTATTCTTTCCTGTTATTTGAGACCTTTTTTATATTTTGGGGTTCTGCAAAAACAAATTATAAATTCTCCTAAAACAAATTAACTGTAGACACAAATCCCAAATAATTTTTCCTAAAATGATTCAACTGCATATCAAAGTGTATGATCTATTCTTGGGATCATTGTTGCTTTTGATAAGGGCAGAAATGTGTCCACTTGTTTTGTATACTTGCCAACCTGTCCCTTATAAAAAGTCCCTCAATGTCTGGATATCATTGCCCCCAATGGCAAGCAATATCAATGGCAAGTTATGCGGTTTTAGCTGGATAGATTCCAGCAGTACCCCAACACATACTCTGAGGTCCCCAAGCATTGGCTCTTGCCAACTTGCGCCTGCTACTCCCCGGAATTGAGTAAGTAGGGTGCATCCCTCCGGACTGAGAGTGCACATTCCATTCCAATAACCAGGAATTTCCATGTGTAGGTGGGATGCATGGAAATCTCTGTTTGGTTTGGATACCCTTAAGCATGGATTTCTGATGTGTCAAACAGCCGGCTGACCCTCATAAAATGTCTGAATGAATTGTTTCTCTTTTCAGACCGGTTCTTAAAGTGGTGTTTTCGGTTTTACTTAGATTGCTAAAACCTCTATTCCTGAACAGGTAGATTCTAATTTGTAACCTTAGTTTTACAACGTTAATTGGGGTTAAATTCCTCTTGGGTCTAGATTTACCTATTAGCGTAGTATTTCGGAGAGTCCAGAATTTGGCAAATTATTGATTTCAATCTTAACTTTGAAGTTTTTTAATAGTTCTTAATAGAACTTGCAGAATATCTGCATCAAAATTAAGGCTTGAATGCAACAGTTTGTCAGACTCTGAGCATTGTGAAATTTTACATTATTATACTATGTATTGCTCTCCCCTACCTCTGCGACCTCCTAACCCTCTACCATCCTGCTCGCTCCCTCCGCTCAGTGTGCTCCGACCTGCTTCACGTCCCCTGCCTCGCTTGCCCCACTATTGTCGGTCGGGCCTTCTCCCACTCCGCACCTCCAACTGGTGGAATCATCTCTCAATGGGAAAGGATGTGTGTCCGAGCTGTGGGAAGGAAGATGGTGGCAATGCTCTCATGCATTTCATGCTAATCTATGTTGCCCACCAGGGAGTTCCTTGTACCTACCACAGTGCATGGGGGATTTACTGGTAAGATGAAAATAACGTTCCAAATATTAAATGTTAAATATTAGTCTTTTTGGGAAAGGGACTTGTTAGTGTTGGTGCTAACTGATTTTTTTCTATTCTGAAATTCGGATTTGAAGCAGAAAAAAGTAAGCACATTAAACTGCTAAGCTAGATTCATGAAACAAGTCTCAGCCTGGCTCAGTTAAATAGTACTCTTGCTTCTGAGTCAAATGGCTATAGTGATATTCCAAAGCAATGCCGGGCCTGCTGCATTTTTGGAGGTGCCATCCTTCGGATTAAATATTAAATTGATGTTCTATCTGCCGGTTCAGGTGGATGTTCAAGATCCCATGGCACTATTCAAACAGTGAAGGGAGTTTCTCTTGGTGTCTTGGCCAACAATCCCATAGATACAATTGATAATTGATGTTTGTGGGACATTGTTGCTTGCAAATTAGCTGCTGTGTTTGCCACAAAATACTCAGTAAATGAAATTTACAGTAAAATCCTGTAAAGTGCTCTGAGGTGCTTTGAGATCCTGACATGAAATACAAATAATTATTAATTCAAAGTTACGCATTATTCACCAGGAATGAACCTTTTTAGCTTTTCTTAACGTTTATTAGTTCAGATACAGAATTCTTCAAAGCTAGGCACCAGTGCAATTCTCTTTTGTATCAATAATAATTTCCCATGAAGCAGATTTTATAAACCAAGCCTTAAAGCTGATTGCTATAACCTTTGCACACCTTAGATTAGATTAACATTTACTTGAAGTTGATATTGGCAAAATGAAAGAATCAAAAAATATAAATTGAAAAATAAAATAGAAAGTGCATAAAATCCTGTCATTTATTTCTGTTCAAGCAGTTCAAGCAATTCCTCATATATGTTTTTTTAAAACAAGTAAAGAATAGCTCTTTGATCTACATGCAGCATCCAACTTTCCAAACTCGAGATGGAAAGTTGGAATCTGCATGTAGATCAAAGAATCATTCTTTCCTTGTTTTATGGTCACAAGAGCTGACTGCTTCTTCTCAACACTGTCCTTTTCGGTCGGCCAACAAAATAATTGTTTCTTGATTGAATATATCTTGATTTATGCCATCAAGAAATTGATGGCCTTAATTTATGCATTTATTTTATTGGAAACCAAAAAGGTTATACCACTCCTACTGTTTTTGCAAATGAAGTAGAATATTCTATTCTGCATACATCGATACATCCTCACCATAATTATTGAATTATTTACATAACCCATTTCACATGAAACAAATGACCCAAAATAGAATTGATTAGAATGAAAGTGTATGTAATAAAGACAAAAGATAATCACCCTAAGTTTGTTAACTGGTTTGTTAATAAACAAATGAACTGTATTTTTCTGCATTCATAAAACTTATAAATCCTCTCCAAGTCTTACGATTTCGTCAATAAGGAAGTCGACATCAGACTTGTTTGTAGCTGGATTAGAAATGACCATTCGGAAGAAATTCACCCGATCTCCTTGAGGTTGGTAACCAACCATCGTCAGCCCTGTGTCCATCATCTGTGCTTTAATCTTTGGAGCAATCTGAAGAATGACAAAAGGACAAGTTAAATATGAAGTTAACACCAGCAGAATTATGGAGATGGAGAACTGACTTAAAATGATTGAATTTAAGGTTCTTGCTTTAACTTTCAAATGTCTCCATGCCTCCCATTCTAAATAAATTGTTGTTGTTGTGAATAATCCATGCAGTCATGGGGGTCAGAGGAAGATTTCGCCAACAGGTTTCTCATCAGCATGGAGGTGCAGTTCCTCCTCACTCTGTTCCTTACCAAGATGGTCACCATGCCCATCGATTCTTCCTTGATTAACAATGTAAACAATCTTCATTCACCAGCACCATGTGGCTGAACTTGTCACCTAATATATTTCAACTCCAAACACTTCCTTCAGATCAAAGGTGTTGCCATGGGAAGGCATATAGTTCCTAGCGGTTCCTATCTGTCTCACAGGATATTACAAACCATTGAATACTCAAGGCCAGAAATCATTAGCTGGAGACTACAACAACAACTTGGATTTATATAGCGCCCTCCACGCTGACGACGTCTCAGAGCTCTTTACTATATATATGTAATATATATATATAATACATATATAATGAACAATGGTACCTGATGAAGTTTCTTGTTCCTTTCTGTATTTTCTGGCATTCCTCGGAGGCTCGGTGGAATGTACCAGAAGCACACATTGGTGTGTTCTGGCTGAGTAACAGGAAAAAAGGCATAAACTGATGTTATTATGCACAATTGTGGCAAAAGACCCTAATTAGTTTCAATATCTTGGTAAACTGGGATCTGTTTTGGGACCTATTGGGGAAAATATAGTATTCAATGTAATAATTCTCACGAGTGATACTAATCACAAGGACAAAAAAAGTGGTCATTTTGGTTCTCTGAGATAGGTTTGGATCTGAACAGCCCTTAAGTTCTGAAGAAATGACTTCTCTTTGTATTATTTTCAGGATTGAACTAGAGACACACTAGATTTTAATATAACAAGAAACCTAGATTTTAAGACCTAGCAGCTATACATATTTTAACAAATGCTTACTTTTAAAATTATTTTTAGGGCACTATCCGGTGAAGAAATTACAGGAATAGTCCTCCCCATGACCTAATTCAAGATATCCCAATCCTTCTCATGAGTTTGTATCAGAAGAGAAATGGTTTGAAATTGGGACCTACCAGACAAACCACAGTATTCTTTTTCAGTCTTCTATGTACAGACAAAATATACAGTCAATTCACTTTACATTATATTTTGTGAAACATTTTGAAACATCTCAACGGGATAAGGCTATATCAAATGCAAGGATTATTATTGTTATTATGATTACGTTCCTATTCACAATCATCAGAGTGGGGGAATGAAGTACTTCCACAGTAATGCGTTTTGATGCAATAGCATGTGCAAACCAATGAGAACATTTTAAATCTGCTGAACGTTGTGTCAAAAAGACTGCTTAAAAAGAAAGTCTTGAGAAAGGGCAAAGGACACCCTAGCATTACTGTACAGGAAGCTATTTTTCATTTGTTGAACAATATAGTGATGAAATAAAAAAAGTAAACTACACAATGTCATGGTGTAAACAATAATGGGATAAAATATAATATTCACACATAACTATAACAACTGGCAGCACAATGCTACATTAGTAAAAGAACATGAAACCAACCCTGACTGAACAGTAGTCCTGTATACATCAATACGTACCAGATGACGACCATTTCTTACAGTCTTTTATAATGTGTAAATAATATGTATATATAACTTTAGATTCCAAGTTGCAGAAGCTGCTTGCAGCACAGAGTTAGCAAGCAGGTTGCACGAGTTTACAGCAAAGTGATAGATCCAATAGATGCTTGATTGACAGTCAGCTAACAAACACAAACAAGCAGCTTGCAGAGTATAATAACATGTGGGCGCGAGCGTTGGAAAACACTCTCGCATTTGCATCGTACGATGGGCAGAGCCACACACCTATATAAAGCATTGCTCAGCACCCCTCGTGGTTACTAACTAATGGTTGTCATCTGGTACGTATTGATGTGTACAGGACTACTGTACAGTCAGGGTTGGTTTCATGTTCTTTTACTAATGTAGCATTGTGGAGTCCTGTAGCTCAGTGGTTAGAGCACTCGCTTTGCAAGCAAGAGACCTGAGTTCAATTCCAGGCAGGGCGAAACCTTGGGCAAGTTTCCTTACTCCATACACCTAATAATAATCCCACCAAAACCAAAAACAATAATAAAAATTGGTCTTTTTCAATCTACGACTGTTTGTGGGACATTGCTGTGCGCAATTGGCTGCTGCGTTCGCCCACAAATATACAGTCAATTCACTTTACAGTGTGTTCTGTGAAGCGCTTTGGGACGTCCTCCCGATGTGAAAAGTGCTATATCAAATGAAAGGATTATTATTATTATTATTATTATTATTGTGCTGCCAGTTGTTATAGTTATTTGTGAATATTATATTTTATCCAATTATTGTATTCCTTCCATTGTTGTGTTCCACATATGCAAGGTAGCCTAGGGTTGCTAGGTTTAAATAAAGAACTGTTGTTTCTACCGAATGTATCCTCGAGTCTATGTAATATTCTAAACAAGAAAAGGAGCAAGCATTTCAGAGGGTAGTTGTCAACATCGGAGGTCTACTAGTGCGAGCAGACTCTGATTAGACATTCCAGTTACTGGGCATTGGGGTTAACTGGGAATACCTGTCTGTGTGTGACTCTGACTTGGTTGAGTCGCCTTTGAAATAGGTCCCTACTGTCACACCAACAGGGTTAGGAGAGAAGCAAAAGCCACTTAGTATGAAAACGTAAATAAAATTTGCACATACGTGAATTGGTGAGAACCAACGCAACATAATGAGAAGAATAGAGTTATTCTTTTATTAGACCAACAGCTCAGTTCCCGAGGATGTGCTTGGCATAAGGATCATTGACTGTCAGAGTTTATACGAGCTTTGCCTGCTCGTATATATTTGGACGGTTTAACAAGAGCAAGCACATCTCTACTGCACCTGACAAACCTCGCCCTCCAAACTCTGTATTCTGATAAAAGTATGACACGAAAGCGATACTGCTTGTGAATTCATGCTCAGCAGAATCTGGAACAAATCCACAGCTCATTTCATTATTGCAGATCAGCCTGATACCCTACTTGTAATTTCAAATGAGACTGGATCAGAACTGAAATGGGCTGAAATCTGACCTCAGAGAATTAAGCCTGATGTCACACATTGGGTAGACTTCCAGTAGTTACCACTTCCAGAAAAAAAGCAATGAGAATTGAGAAGATGAATCTGCCCACCCACTGAGGCCAAGAAATCCCTCGTGATATTAGACGTAGACTATTGCTTTCAAAAGTAAGATTACGGATTATTTTCATAAAATTCAACCTTAAATTACAAGCTGTTTTTCTGCAGTTCTAACATTTTTTAAAATTCTGCATTTTCTTAAATATTAAGATGAATGTTTTAGAGCAAAGGTAGTGCACATTTTGGACTTCTGTCTCTCTGTTTCTGAACTACGTCAAAACCCAGTTCACCAAAGGAGAAAAGCCAATGTCACAATACATTCGATCACTTACAGACAGCTCAGAAACCTACCTTTTCTTCAAAGACTAGTTTAAAGTCAGCTCTGCATTTGAGTTTGCTGTGGAGATAATCTGCAAGTTCCAGACATCTGTTGATTTGTTTCTCAAACCCCAGCGTGCCCTAAAAGGTGTATAGCAAGAAAGATAAATGATCAACAGACATAACACATGACATCTTCTAACCTGGTAATAATTCAAATAAACTTGTATATAGCTCACTAATTGCATGCTGTATTTATACCGCACATCCAGTGACTCACTGAAGTACAATGCTCATGAATCACACTGGGTTTAGTCTTCTGGTATTCAATACCACCTCTGCAACATCGCTTGGCTCCACCACTGTCTCACACCAAAGGCCGTCGAGACCCTCATACACGCATTCATAACATTCGCGTTTGACTATGCAAACTCTTTTGCAGATCATCCAGAACTCTGCAGCCCATGTCCTCTCCTGCACCAGACTCCGTGTCCCTATCAACTCCACCCTCGTCCAACTCCTATGGCTTCTCATCACACAGAACATGCAGTTCAAGATCCTGGTCCTTACCGTCAAAGCCCTCCATGGCCTTGCTCCCCCCTACCTCTGCGACCTCCTAACCCCTTACAAACCTGCCCTCTCCCTCTGCTCAGCAGGCTCCGATCTGATTCACGTCCCCCACATATATATATATAATATATATGTATGCAGAGTTTTGGAATATCGCAAACTTTACCTCTTGTAGCTCAGTGGTTAGAGCACTCGCCTTACAAGCGAGACACCTGGGTTCAATCCCAGTCAGGGCGAAACCTTGGGCAAGTTTCCTTACTCCACACGCCTAATAATAATCCCTCCAAAAAAAAAACAATAATAAATTGGTCATTTTCAATCCACGACTGTTTGTGGAACATTGCTGTGCGCAATTGGCTGACGCATTTCGCCCACAAATATACAGTCAATTCACTTCACAGATATTCTGTGAAGCACTTTGAGACGTCGAGAAGACGTGAAAAGTGCTATGTCAAATGCAAGGATTATTATTATTATTAATTCCTTTTTCCTTGTTTCTTGAATATGGAATGGTTTATCAGCTGACTAAAAATTTGCAAACTAAACCTGTGTTTAAATATTGAACATCCCAAAGTCCAGTATAGTGATTTGGTGTAAATTCTCTGTCACAACCTTCTGCTGATGAATGTACTCAGTAGCTACTCCTTGACACACACCATAAAATAAAGCTGATAGCAAACTCTGGGATGCTTATTTGGATTTCTCAGGCTAGTTATTTGTCCATCTCCAAGAGGACACCTGTCTTAATTGTATTTTGATTTGGCAGATATTGATCACAGTTAACATGGCGGACATTTGCATTCTAACGTAAATCTAAAACACAAAGATAAATCTGTGACTCAATTAGACCTTAACCAAATTTTTTAATGATGTGATGAGTAGCGTTCTCACCTCTGAGTCCTCCAAAACCTGTCAGTCCCCCGTTGCTCCATCCCCCTGATCAACGCCTTCCCCCCGGCTACACTTTCCAGCACATCACTCGCCCAAACCGATGTGGCTCCTTTGACTTTGCTGCCCTCCTCTCCTCCATAAATCTAATCCTCCATATAAACTCCCCAACCCACAACTGTGGCCTCCCCCTCAATCTCATGATCATTCTTGGCATTGATATCTCCAAACTGTCCATCACAGATAAGGCCATCTTCTGACCATTTCCTTATCTCCCTCTCCTCCCGCATCCCCTCCTCCAAGACCTCCATCATTTTTTTTCATCATTAGCAAAAGCTTCCCCCCGACTCCAGTCCCTAACAAATGCCCTTTTTCCCTCAGACCTCTTCTCCCACTGCCTTCCAACTGCAGCAATCCTGATGCAGCCATTAAGCTGCTAAACGATTGTCTCTCTGCAAAATTCAACTCTCTTGCTCCCCTGAAATCCAGGGCTGTTTCCACATTTACTCGCTTCCCAGTATAACAACAACAAGATTACATTTGTATAGCGCCTTTCACGTCGGGAGGACGTCCCAAGGCGCTGGATGGTGTACAGCATTTCAGACCCGAGCTGGGGTCAGGGGGGAGAAGAGAGGGGAGGGGAACGGGGGTGGCCGATAGCATGGTCAAAGAGGAGGATCTTGAGGCGGGACTTGAAGTAGGCTAAGGAGGGGGCGAACCGGAGTGACTAGGGAATGGAATTCCAGAGATTGGGGTCAGAGTGGCTGAAAGCTCTCCCGCCAATGGTGGGGTGGATGGGTCGGGGGACGTGGAGCAGGCCAGAGCCGGCTGAGCGGAGGGAGTGGGCGGGTTGATAGGGGGTTAGGATGTCACAGAGGTAGGGAGGGGCGAGGCCATGGAGGACTTTGTAGGTGAGGACCAGGATCTTGAACTGGATCCTCTGAAGCATAGGGAGCCAATGGAGTCAGGTGAGAATGGGGGAGATGGGGTCACGGAGTTTGGTGCGGGAGAGGATACGGTCTGCAGAGTTCTGGAGCCTGTGGAGGGGGGAGTTGGGAAGACCAACAAGCAGAGCATTTTCATAGTCGAGCCTGGAGGTGATTAAGGCATGAACAAGAGTTTCAGTGGCCTGAGGGGTGAGGTAGTGGCGGAGATGTTACGGAGGTGAGAGAAGTCAGAGCAGGTCATGGCTCGGATGCGGGGAAGAAAAGACAATTGAGGGTCGAACAAGACACCTAGGTTCCTGACTAGCTTGATGAGTTGTAGTGTGCAACCATGGAGGTTGATGCTGCCAGAACCTTTCATGGGAAATGGAGAAAGAGAATAAGGAAACAAGTTTAAAAATTTAAAGAGCTGTCATGATCTGAAATATAGTGAAGCAGTCTCAAAGGGCCAAATGGTCTGTTCCTGTTCTATGCTGCTAACATGCAAATGAGATTTCTGCCACATTGCAATGTTGAATCTTTGCGCAATTATTAAAGCAATGATTTCAAGGAAGATTAATGCGCTATGAAAGTCAAAGATCTTTACAATGACAATGATGTGAACTTATATAATACCTTTCGGGTAGGATTAATATCATGAAGCACTTTAGTTAAATAACAAGTACCATCACGAAGGGCGGAGAGGAAGTAGAAGTTAAGGGTGTTAACTAAACAATAACCACAAAAATAACTCGTATTTATAAAGCGCCCTTCACGTGGGTGTAGCGTCTCAGAGTGCTGAAAGGTAAAAAGATTTTGAAGGAAGGGAGAGAACAGCAATGTGAAAGCACTTTGGAAGAATTCCAGAGAACCGAGACATAATGGCTGAAGACTTGGTTACCAATGGTGACTTGGAGGGAATGAGGAATGAGTCAGAGAGCATATTTGCAAGAATAGCACAAGATGAGAAGTTCTAGCTAAGAAAGGGCAAGACTGTGAAGAGACTTAAAGCTCTAGATGAGTATCTTAAAGTTAATCTTCAGGGATAGTGGGAGACAAAGGACCTTTGAGGATGGGGATAATATGCACAGTCTGTTGGTCAGAGAGGATGTGAACTGCAGAGATTTTGATGAGCTGTAGCTTGTGCAGTATGGAGCTAGAGAAGAGAGTGACAAGATCATTGGAGAAGTCAAACCTCAATGTGACAGAGCCATGGTGATATTCTGGAGATGGAAGAAAATGGTATTGGTCAAGACCTGAGTATGGCATTTCAGTTTTGTTCATAGAAAACAATTCAACAAACACGATCCTGTTCATTTTGGGCTATTCTCTCTTTGTTACCTTTGCTTTCCACATCAGCCAGAACTTGAAGACATCCACGTGACGGCCGCACTGAATTGTTTTATCCCCTGTGTCATACGACATGTTATATTGCTTGTCAGTTTGAAACAGGTACTCTGCAGACATTTTATTACAACCCTGAAGTAGACCCTGTCAAAAATCATAGGATTATAAAATGAACAACAACAAAATTGCATTTATAGAGTGCTTATCAAGTCGAGAGGACATCCCGAGTCGCTGGACAATGAGGGATTTGCACCCGAGCTGTGGGTTGAGATTAGAGAGGGGTGAGGGTAAGTGGAACAGTAAACATATATAGAATGCAGAATAACCCCACTTATGCAATAGAAACTGTACACCAATGAAACCAAAGTTAAATGAAAAACATTAAACATAATTTAAAGAAAAAACATTTCTATTACCACCGGTCTACTATGTCTCTGTTTTCGCTTATTACTATTAATATCTATTCAGTGTAAAACAAGGCTTAATCAAGCTTTGTGACAGGCTACGGTCTGGTTAGCTTGCACTTAGTCCACTCCTTTCAATGAATTTGTTGATGTGAACTTATGGGCTCATAACAGCAGGAATGCAATTTTAACTTATCAATAACATTGTGTTTTAAACATAAAATGTGATTATGTCTATAAAATTGCATTAGTACAGCTCCCCTGATGGTCTGTTACACCACCAGATGCTAGATCGCTGTAGAATGGCAGTCTGTGCTGACTCAGCTGGTCTCAGTCTGAGCAGCAGTTGGGGCTACATAAGAACATAGAATTGCTAGACGAAAGAAGACAAGGTCCATCCAGTTCACCTTCCACCATCCTGGCAGTCGCATGACATGTCATGTCCGAAACTATTTACTGTATCCTGAGATATTAATAATAACAATTGGCCTGAGTGTCTGCATTATGGATAGGGAAATCAACCAGCTTCCATATTTCCAATCACTATGAAGAATTCTGCTGGAAGATGTGCGTGTGAACATCGGGTAAGGACAGAAATAAACACCATGATGTTCCACATAGTTGATTGGCCTGTCAGGTACACATTATAATAATCCTTGCATTTGATATAGCGCTTTTCATGTCTTCTCGACGTCTCAAAGAGCTTCACAGAATAAACTGTAAAGTGAATTGACTATATTTGTGGGCGAAATGCGGCAGCCAATTGCGCACAGCAGTGTCCCACAAACAGTTGTGGATTGAAGTGACCAATTTATTGTTGTTTTTTGTTCTTGAGGGATTATGATCAGGCGTGTGCAGTAAGGAAACTTGTCCAAGATTTCATTCTGCCGGGGATAATCGAACCCAGATCTCTCGCTTGCAAAACGAGTGCTCTAACCACTGAGCTTCAGGACTCCACAATGTCACATTGTGAATGTTGGCAAGAAACAGGAGAGCACTTTACCTCATTGATAGGAAAAATAAATCAAAATGACTTCAGGAGAGGTGGAGCAGTGAGAGAAAAATGAATGAGAAAAATGGCAAAATAAGTAAATAAATAATACTTGTGTTACTTATAATGACACAGGACCAAATTTATAAAATATATCAAATTTGGGAGGAAGACGTCAAAAGCCATTTGATAAAGTGCCACATAATAGACTTGTTAGCAAAATTGAAGTGCTTGGGATTAAAGGAACAGTGGCAGCATGGTTCTGAAATTGGCTGGGAGACAGAAAGGTAGTGCTGAACTGTTATTTTTCAGACTGAAAGGAGGTAGACAGTGGTATCCCCCAGGGGTTGATATTAGGACCTCTGCTCTTTTTAACATATATTAATGGCCTGGATTGGGTATAGGGAGCAAAATTTTAAAGTTTGCAGATGACACGAAGCCTGTAATCATAGTAAACAGCGAGGAGGTTGGCAGCAGACTGCAGTGGGACATAGACAGTCTGGTGAAATGGGCAGACGTGGCAGATGAAATTTATTGCAGAGAAGTGTAAAATGATGCATTTTGGGAGGAGGAATGAGGATAGGCAATATAAAATAAATGATACAACTTTCAAGGGGGTGGAGGAACGGAAGACCTGAGCACATAAGCAAATCTTTGAAGGTGGCACGACAAGTTGACAAAGCTGTTAAAAAAGCACATGCAATCCTTGGCTTTATAAATAGAGGTACAGAGTACAAAACCAGAGAAGTTATGCTAAATCTTTATAAATCATTGGATAGGCCTCAGCTGGAGTATTGTGTCCAATTCTGGGCATCACATGTTAGGAAGGATGTCAGGGCCTTGGAGAGGGTGCAGAGACAATTTACAAGAATGATACCGGAGATTAAAGAGGCTGGGATTGTTCTCCTTGGAGCCGAGAAAGTTGAGGGGAGATTTAATAGAGGTTCAAAATTATGAAGGGTTTTGATAGAATAGATAGGGAGAAACTGTTTCCACTGATAATTGGGAAAAGAAACAGAGGAGATTTTTTTTTACTCAGGGAAAGCATTGCCTTAAAGGGTGGTGGAAACAGATTCGATAGTAGCTTTCAAAAGGGAATTGGATAGGTACTTGAAAAGGAAAACAATTACATGGTTATGGGTAAGAGCAGGGGAGAGGAAATAGTTGGATAGCTCTTTCAAAGAGCCGGGAGAGACTAAAGAGCGGACTGGGGGTGGGCAGCATAGCATGGTCAGCACGCTGCTTGGGTCACGGGGAAGCAGAGTACGGTAGTCATCGTGAGTCCATATAAGTGCAAGTTGTTTTTGTTGTACATTGGGAACTGCAAAATGAGGGACTCGTGGTTCTGCTCACTTAGAGTGACCTGACACATAATGTTTGTTATCAGTTAGCACATTCATAGGAAAGATAGAGAAAATTGAAAATTCAACATGTAACACTTGTTTTATGGCCTCTGGCGGTTATTGACACTAATTATTGGCATTACCTGAAACACATCAGATCGCAATTTTAATTATTACATTTGGGGGAAGCAGAAATGCCTTGTTATTTGTCAAATTGAACTTGCAGTGAAACACATGTCCAATTCCTGTTCTGTTTTCATAAATGACGATTTGTGAGAAGAAATTAGAAATCGTGTTGAACTGAGGAAACATTGAGACTTGCAGTTATATCACAAGGCTTATAATCATTTTGATAATCACTTTATTTGCCAAATTTATTTACCCACATACCTTTTCTTGGATGAGGATTGCTGAACACTGCAGTGGAATGCCCATTATTTTGTGTGGATTCCAAGTAACAGAGTTGGCCCTGGCAGAGAGAACAGTAAAATGACATGCAAAGAGTAGAATTTTCTGCAGGAATTGTTATTCTAAGTGACTAACATCTACACTGATACACAAAAGCAGAGATGTACCTTTCAATACCCTTCATCTTATAGCAGTGTTTCCGTGACATCAAGAGCCCACCTCCCCAGGCTGCCTGTTTAAAGAAGACATTGCTACTTTAATTTTGGAGCTCAGTGAGTTTCTACAAAGGGAATCACTAGAATTATCACTGCTAGTTTGTCACAAGCTATTGAAATTGAGTACTGCATTGCATACTATACGACACAGTTTATATTTAGATAGCACCTTTCAAGTCGGGAGGACTCCTCAAAGCGCTTAAAGAAGTACTGTAGCTATGGGACGCTACTCTGCATGAGGGGTGCTATATAAATGCAAGTTGTCCTAGCAAACTAATTAATAATAATAATCCTTGCATTTTATATAGCACTTTCCACGTCTTCTAGACGTCTCAGGATAGACTGTAAAGTGAATTGACTGTATATTTGTGGGCAAAATGCAGCAGCCAATTGCGCACAGCAGTGTCACACAAACAGTCATGGATTGAAGTGATCAATTTATTATTGTTTTTTTCTTGAGGGATTATTATCAGGCATTTATACTAATGCCCTCTGTGGTTTCAAGGCTCTGGCATAGAAAGAGATGGCTAATGATTTATTTTAATTCTAAGACTTAATAAGCCATCTGATGTGACCATTTTGACTAGGAGAATTGTTTTCTATTCTTTGGTGATTACCAACCACCTTGATAGCTTCAAAGGTTTTTAATGTTGTTGTTATGGCCTCTGTTATACACTGATAACTCTGTGTTTTTTAATAGTCAATAATAAAAGTGTCATGATGTAAACATTTGTTTTGTTTCATTCCCACTTAATAATCCTTACATCGACATGCATCCAAAGGCTGTACTTTTCACAGAGGTCAGCAATCTCGCTTAGGGGGTCAAATGCCCCATACACAGTGGTTCCAGCTGTGGCATTCACATAAAATGGAACAAAGCCCTGAAAAATAAAAATAATAGAACTCCTTTTATATTGAACAATACATTTTCAGTCAGAAGGAGAAGGTTTGAGCTGAGATCCTGAACTGGGGATCACTATTCTAATCACAATTCCCCACTTTTCTTTGTATTCTTTCTCCTCAGATATTTATCCAATTGCTTTATAATAACTGTTACTGTCTCAGCTTCAATAACCAAATGTGGCAAAGCATTTCTTCCATGTTCTAATGACTTTCTGCATGAAAGATTCTTTTAATCTTCTCCTTATCTGTTCCAATAAAATGTATTCCCTCTTGTTTTTCTATACAAGTATATGTGTAGGATGTACAGTATCTTAAAAACAATACCGTCTGCTAGTGTAAGTATGCTTCTGTTATCAACATGTAAATCTTGATGTATCTCAGATATTCAGTAATTAAAGCAATCGTATTGAGGATGTTGCAATTGCAAAAGCAACTCCAGTGGAAGAGATTTATCAGAAGATTGCTTCAGTGAGATTTAGATCAAACAAGATAGCATACTAAAAATATTAATAATAATATTTACATTTGGTGTAGCATCTTTCAGGACGTATCAGGAGGATGTATCAAAATGCTTCACAGGATATTCAATGGCACACAACAATACCCCACAAACAGGCATGAAGTAAATGATCAATTTTATTTAAGATAATTAATCAATTTGATTTGGACAATTGTTGACCAGGACAGATTGTCTATTCTGCAAATTCAACACAATGTTCTACAGTAATAGAGTGATTGGAATTGTCTGTGGTACTCCAACTGAGGCCAAGCACAAGTTTGGTATCACTTCCTGTGATTTATCCTCTATATCTTTATATATGAATGCTGAAATTCCATGTGTTCTCTTTACCAATGATCTGATGCTATCCGCAATCTACCCAGAAGTACCTACAAGTCTCTCTCCAGTGTCATGTTCTGTAGACCAGGTAATTATGTTAGGTCCAGGGAAAGAATGAATTAAGCAGTATGATGAACCTTTAACTCAACTTAGTGAGTACATAGCGAGGTGAAAGAACACATATTTGGACATCAAAAGCAAAAAAGGAAGAACTCTCAGATAGTAGAACCTTTTTAAAAAAAGTAAAGAGGTACAAGAAAGAGATTTATTTAGAAGTATATTGCTTACCTTTGTTCTGCCTTGCAAAATGAAAATACAAGTTATTGATGATTAGTGACAGACTAAATTTAGGTATTGTCATGATTAAACGCTAGATAGTATAGTGACTGGCTTTATGAAAGTCTCAAACCTTCTGTTGGGCTGCACAAATTTTTGCTTCTAATTCAGCTGGAATAAGCTCCCTCTATGAAAATAATTAGAGAAATATAAAAAATCAAATTAAATCAGTTCATATTTACAATGTTCAATAAAACATTACACTCTGTGAAATGGTAGGATGCTGGTTCCCTGCACCAATGATTTATTGATTTTGGGTTTAAGAGCAAGCTAATATAAGTTTCTTCCCTACCAACAGTGAGAGAATTGAAATTAGAGTCAATTTATATCATGTAGGAACACCACTCACCTGGTTCAAGATGAGAATTGGGAAAGGCTAAGAGTAGATTGCCTTTTGGTTAGAAAATAGTGCTACACAATAGGCAGTTCATGCAAAGGAAGAACTTACATTTTAATACTATCTTCACAGCAAAATGTCTCAAAGTGCTTCACTAATAATTACTGTCAAATTTAGGGAAACGCCACAACCATTTACACCAGTAACTTTCTAAAAACAGGCTTGAGGTGAATGATCAGTTTATCTGGAGGATTGTTGGCCAGGACGCTGGGGAGGGGGGAGAGAGAAGTCTTTTCTATTTTTGAATAGTGTCATGGGATCTTTAATATCAACTTAAACTTAGAATTGAGATAGTTTGTTTTCTTAGATTCAATGAAGTTAAAAACAAAATATTACAAAAACAGTTTTCAAACTGGTGGTTATTAACATCTCTGAAAGTGTGAACTTGCAGCAATTTTTCAATGGTCAAAAATCCGTATTATTTATTTTTAAATCTTAGAACTCTTAGCTGGCTAAAATAAAAACCAAAGCATGCAAGCAGGATAATTCCAGGACTTAACACTTTAAGTTATAAGGAGACTCACAAACTCAACTTGTTAGATAAAAGATTAAAGGGATGGCTTGATCGAGGTTTAGGAAATAATTACAGGCAATTTGATTTAGGCAATCAGACCAGGGCTGAAAAGCATTGGTTGAAAGTATAAAATGGAACAAACAGGACAACACTTTATTTTTCTATGAGAAGTGATGACTACATGGAGCAGATTCAAGAAACAAAAGTAATTGACGTTGCATCAATAAATGTCTGCTTGATATTACATAAGAAGAAATAGGTGAAGATGAAAGCATTATCCTATGTTGCAGAGCATGGGAGGGAATACTGTCTGTGGAGAGGAGGCGAGGTTTGAAAGATACAGCGATGTGGGCATGGAAGAATATGATAGCAATTTTGCTTGATTGCCTATGTGCTGGGAGTCTCTTTGCTTTTTCTCACCAGGAGACAGAGTGGGTGGGATAAAGTCATGATCAGGTTGGTTTTAGTGAACTGTGGAGAGAGGAGGTTTGAAGGGCTCAATCAATATTATTCAACAAGAGTTATCAATACCTTTCATCACATTTTACCAGAATCACATTGTCTGTTCCAATCCCAAGGACTGCTGCAGCCTTCTTTATTGAATAATGACTCTAAAGAATACCAGAAATAATTATTTCATCATCATAATAACAATGATATATTTGGTATAGCGCCTTTCACGATGCAAAACACTTCACATGATATACCGTAAAGTATTTTGCAGGTGATCAGGCAGCCAACTTGCAACAGCAATATCCCACAACCAGCCATGAAGTGATAGATCAATTTTATCTGAGGGATTATTGGCCAGCACATTGAGAAAATCTCCCTTTTATTTTCAAATAGTGTCATCGGATCTTTAATGTCCACCCCAATTGACAGGTTATTTAATATCTCACTGAAGGACAGCGCTTGCAACAATGCAGAGCGACCCCAGCACTTGACTGGAGTATCAGCCTAGGCTATGAATTCAAAGTCCCAAAGTGGGACTCACAACCGTGCGCCTCAGAATTAAGAGTGCCACCAACTAAGTCAGGCTGACACACAGATAAAAATCTGTCACACAAGGTATAAAAAAAACACCATAAGCAACTAACCACAACAGTGCAACATGTTCATTTGTAAAGGATTGGAAGTTTTAGTTAACAATTAAGATTTTTGAATTCAGCTGTACAAATGCTGTATTTAACCATCATCACCTTCATTCATTTAGCCTCAGCCTGAAATAAACCCTGGTTTCTCCGAGCTAGATAAATCATACCTCTCTGCGCAGCTTGACTCTCTGACTAGCATGTTTGCCTCTTAATGTGAAATGCGGAAAAGATTTTATTTTGGCAAGCAAAACCACTTACTAACTCAGAGGTAAATAAGACCAGCCTGGGAAGGTTTGCTGCACCTTGAGTCTTGACCTCAGGAAAACGTTTGTAACGGGCAACCAGCTGGCTGTACAGGTTTGATATAGTCCCTCCTAAAAGACACAGGATTAGACTTTACTTAGATCACACACGCTAACATTGCCTCCTCTGTTCTAGACATCAGGCTTTGTAATACAAATGGCATGTTTTCCAGCTTTTTTTTTCTTCATATTAATATGCACAATTTTGAAATACATTCTAAACATTTTGTAACTTCTGTTTCCAAAGGAGAAAGACTTCATTTTGCCTTGGTGTGTTCTTTCCCTTTAGAGAGAAGTTTTAATACTGCCAAGTAACTTTCAATGGTGCCAGAGCTCTCCAATGGATGCTCTTTGACAGTGCCAATGGTTTGGTGGAATGATTTTCCTTCCCTGTTGGGAAGCACTTTGGTATTTCTTGTGCAGTGTGCAGTGCTGGATCTCAGTGTGTCGGAGTCCTATTGTACAGCTCCATCATACTGCTGTGATTGAGGTACCCTTACAGGAGATACGTGTTATTTGACAGGGTAAATAAGGAGAAGCTATTTCCATTGGTAGGGAAGTCAGTGACTTATAAGATAGTCACAAGAGGAAAAGGAAAACTTTTGCACTCAGATTTAGGATGTTGAATGCCCTTTCAAGTAATAATAGAAATAATAATAATCCTTGCATTTGATACAGCGCCTTGTCACATCATATATTATAAAGTGGGTTGACTGTGTATTTTGTGGGTGAAATGCAGCAGCCAAATGCACATGGCAGTGTCCCACAAAGTGTCGTGGATTGAGTGAACAACTTTTCTTTTTAAAGATTATTACCCCAATCAATCAACAACTGGGTTCCTACTTAGTGTTAGGCAAACAGTGGTGTGTATGTTAAGGAAACTTACCCCGCCCAGGAATTGAACTCAAGTCATCTAACCACAATGTGGTAAAGTGGAGTTTATTGCGGGCTTTAAGAGGGAAGCAACCAGATATATAATAGAGGCTTGAAGGGGTATTGATAGGGCACAACACTGGGATTGAATGAACACTTTGCTCTGAGGACAAATGCAGACTCAATGGGGCAAATGACCTCCTTCTGTGGGGTAAATTTCTATGATTCTATGATACCCTCTCATGCCCAGTTTTATCCAGGTTATTACATAACACTCATGGGAATGACTTGCTGGAGAAAAGTTATTTAAAAAAAATCAATTTAGGAATGACTAGGGCCTCTCCTTTCGCTCACTTGGTAAAGGAGCATTTAACATTAGCAGAGCTTAACCCTAAAAAAGGAAGGGTGGGAGGTGACTGTAGACACAATGAAAGAAAGAGTTCTTCAGGTGTGACATGAAGATGGTGAAGGAAGGGGAAAGGCAGAGGGATTGAGGCAGAGTTTCAGGCAAAGTATCTGAAAGCACAGCCACCAACGGTGGAACAGATGGAATGGGAGATATTCAAAGGGAAACTTTGCACATGGACAACCAAATGTTCTTTCCTCTCCTGGTTCCTGGGGAAGGGCAATTGGGAATGAAAAGTAGAAATCCGATTTTGGATTCTGAATTGCTGATTTACATTCAGACAGCTCTATTGCCGAAGTAAAGGGTGATGTCTCCTGATACCGGTAGTTCGTTTTGTTTATGGCAATGAAAATATCAGCCTGAAAATTAAACCGAGATTTCAAGTTTCTAATGAGTTATTGGTAAATAGTTTGGTGTATTCTATTTTGCGGGCTCTTCATAGATAGAAACCGTGAATGAATGGAGACAGGAAATAGTTGGAGCTGTGACATCCAGGTGGAGAAAGTGGTACTCAACAACAACAACTTTCAAATGAGTATCAATTGCTCCGAGATGAGGCCATCTCGCAGGGCATCGTCTTGGAGCACTTGATATTCATTTGGTCGGGTCATGACCCAACTGTGCAGCGCCTTGGGACGTCCTCCTGACGTGAAAGGCGCTTTATAAATGGAATCTTGTTGTTGTTGTTGTTGTTGTTGTACTGGCTAGTGACAAACCTACCAGGTGAGAAAACTCCATCTGCTTCAGCCTGCGACCATCCAATCATTTCAAACATCTTCTTGAGAAGTATGTCTTCCATGATGATGAACACTGGAGCGATTTCATATGTAAACCTGTGTCAGAGTAAAGGCAAATCAGGTCAAATATTACTAATCTGCCTTTAGACCCAATTCTTGTTTTAGTTCTCAGCTATTCTGTTGACAACTGACATTGTCCTAGAGTAGCGTCAATCATTTTAGCGGAGTCACCACATTGCACCAATCTAGAAGTCAATCAGGAGCCCACTCGGAACAAAATGCTTGTTACCAGCTTCATCGGCAGAAAGATAGAATATTCATAACTACTATCTCAATGTCAAATAGATATTTAAGATTTCAATTGCTATAGCAAATAAATATTTCCATGTGTTGGCAATATCTGACATTATATCCACTCTAGGGTCTCAAGCTGAGATGCTCCCAAACGGCTGAGAAGCAGAAAGAAAAGGCCACTGACTCGAAAAGCATTTTCTTGCTGAGCTCAGTGCGGCCATATGGACACATGTCACTGGAGGTTGCCGCCACATAACTCCTCTCCTCTCAGGAGTTTCTGATTTATTTCCTTGAGCACTATGGTACTAAATGAAACACCTTGCTTGATTGAAACCTTTGATCACAACACATGTAGCCATTTGTATGATGTTCTGATGAAAAGTTATCGACCTGAAATGTTAATTAATTTTCCCCTTTTCATAGATGCTGCCTGACCTGCTGCATTTTCCCAGCAACTTCTGCTTTTATTAAGGAGGAATAGAAACTGGCCAGGCCAGTTAAAACCAGCCAGATGACAACCCCAATCCATTCACTTACTGTTGATTTCAATATCTCTTGGAACCATCATAAATACTGTGTTTAACCAGATACATGATTGTTTTTCAACATTAAAGGAACTATTTTACAAGCCCTTTCCATCTTCCTTTCCTACAACTCAGTTGTGTGTCATGTCTTTATTCTGATAAGTGCTGAATCACTTTAAGAGTTATTAAGTTATTCAGAATGTAATTTAGCAGCTCTATTACACTAAGGATGAAATAAACCTAATTAACTTAATAATCTTTACATTTACTACAGTGCATATCATTTTGGGAGGACAACAACAAAAACAAATTACATTTGTATAGGGCCTTTCACGTCAGGAGGATGTTCTAGGTGTTGGGTGTCTCAAAGCTCTTCATAGAGTGAAGAGTAAAGTGTCGTGACTGTATTTTGTAAGAGTATCTTCTCCAGAGTAACAGACTAATCCAAAGTTTATTCTCATGGCAGTAGCTTTTCAAGCAAATTGTATATCTAAAGATCAGACTTTGTCAAAGTTCACAACAGTGACTAATGCCCCCAAAAAACACATAAAAGCAGTTTCCTGTTCTATTATTGATTATCAATTGTTACTTTGTTCGTTTTTTTTATTAAGTCTTGAGAAATCAACCACAATATTTTTTATTGTCCTTTGAATAGTGCTTTTCAAAATCTGTTTGTTCATGTTGCACGCAATTGGGCTTGGGCTGCTTTCTGTGTCAATCAATGTTTAAAAGAAATTGAGTCAGAATATTTTCTTTTCATAGTATGTTCTCCATCGCTGTTTCATAATGTCCATTCATACCTTTTTTTTAAGAAAAGAATATTGCCAAGTTTGCAGTGATACTTTGAAAAAGCGCAGTGTAAATTGAGGTTGATTTGCACCCCTCTGTCTCATCCCCTCCCTTGCCACCTTCAAGACCCATCTCAAGACTCTCCTCTTCGACTGTGCTTTCGATCATCCATTATCTAACCTGTCAAATCCTTCACTATTTTAAGTACCTCAAGCACATCATTTCTTAATATCTTCTGTTCAAAGGAATATAACCCAGTCTATCCAGCCTCTCATCATACCTAACTATTCAGCCTAAGTATTCATCTAATTAACCATTGCTGGACATACAACAAGATTAGTACCCTTAATAATAAAATAATCCTTGCATTTGATATGGTGCCTTAACTTGTAGTTGAGACGCCTCAAAGTGCTTCAACAACAATAACAACTTACATTTATATTGCGCCCTTCACGCAGGATAATGCCTTGGAGCACTTAGGATATACTGTGAAGAGTAGTGACAGTGTATTTCAAGACAAATCTGGCAGTCAGTAGGTGCCCAGCAATGTTCCACACACAGACATTAAGTGAATGATCAATTTTATTTGGGGGATTGTTGACCAGAACATTGGAAGAAATTCCCTTCTCTTTTTGAATCGTGCCATGGGATCTTAGCATCTATCGGAACAGTCTCTGAGATGATCATGAAAAGCATTCTTTATGTAGCACTAGCACAATACAACTTATATCATATATAACTATATTAGTACCCTTAACGTTGGTAGGATGTGTCAAAGCAATTCACGTGCCAGCTAGGCACATGAGCTGGGTGTGGGAACACACTAAAATGACTACCTATTTTACTAAACCATTTTCAGGAGGGTGTGGTACCTCATTCAAAAAAAAAAGCATTGTTCCTGCACTGGGAAAAGCAGAGCAATCAGTTTATTTGCTTGTCAACATCCTTTCTTCAATCTGATTTTAGAAAGAGTACTTACATGTTGGTGTTGGCAGCAGCAGTCAACCATTCTCCTGCTAGTCCAATGATGTCCAACCCAGTTGAGAGCTGGTTGAAAAAACGTGGGTGGCCTACAGAAGGAACCCATAAGGAATGTGTCACATCTGTGAATACTACCAATCCATTGTGCAAATATTTGCTCTGTTTGTGTTTCTAAGGATGAAGGTTTCTTGAAATGTTGTGAACCACAATGATTGTAATCACATTTACAATAATAATCTTGCATTTGATAGAGAGGATTATCATGTCATTGAGACCCTCAAAGCGCTTCACAGATTATACTGTGAAGTGAATTAACCGTATATTTCATGGACGAAATACTGCAGTTAATTGAGAACAGCAAAGTCCCACAAACAGCCAGGGAGTGGGTAACCAATTTTTTTTATTTGGGGAGTTGTTGGCCAGGACACTGTGAGAAACTCCCTTTCAAATTGAAAAACAATTACTCCAAGAAACACCCTTCCTACCTATCCCTCCTTCCCTCCTCTCTCACTCCCTCCTTCCCCCCACCCTCCCATCTCACTCTCTCTCTCCCTCCCTCCCTCCCTCTCCCTTCCCTCCCTCTCCCTTTCTCCCTCCTTCATGGTGCATCATGGTGACAAAGGAAATTACGTAGAGAGGGCCTAGCTACAAACCTGCTGAATAAATCCTGAAGCCGAAAACAAAACTATTAGTTTTTTTTAAATGCAGCTTAATCAACTTGCCTTCCCACCCACCTTTAAAGATTTATGCATATTAACCACTAGGTCTCTCTGCTCTTCCACTCCTTTTAAATATTTCCCATTTAATGTGTATTTCCTCCGTTTCTTTTTCGAAAATGTATCAGCTTGCATTTTTTCTGCATTCAATTTCATCTCCACCCAATCCACTGTCTATGCCTCCCAGAGAGGCTTCTAAACTGACACTCTCTTCATAGTCAGCTTCCTACTTTTACGGCATCTGCAGATTTTGATATTGTGCCCCTTATACCTGAGTCCAGTGCGAAACAGTGGTAGGCTGTAAGTTCTTAATATGAAAATGACACTCGTGGAGCTACAGGCTGCAAAATAATATTGATTGTGGAGTTCTGTAGTGTATTGGTTAGAGCACTCATTTCGCAAGTGAGAGGACCAAGTTTGATTCCCAGGCAGGGTAAAATCTTAGGTCGATTTCCTTTCCAAACACGCCTCTGTAGCAGTAAGTAGGAATCTGTTTATTAGTCAATTGGCGGATCGCATTCTGGGGTAATAATCCCTTCAAAAAAACATAATAATAAAACACAAAATACTGCTGATGCTGGAATCTGAAACAAAAACAGAGAGCTGGGAAAACTCAACAGGTCAGGCAGCATCTATGGAGAAAGGAAAGTGAGTCAACGTTTTAGGTCCACGACTCTTCGTCATTCAAGATCCTCATCCTCACCTACAAGGCCATTCACGGCCTCGCTCCCTCCTACCGCTCCGACCTACTATCCCCCTACCTACCTGCCCGTACCCTCCGTTCCTCTGGCTCCGGTCTGCTCCACATCCCCCGCCCCAACCGCCCTACCATCGGTGGCCGGGCCTTCAGCCTTTCAGCCCCTAGGCTCTGGAACTCACTCCCCCAGTGCCTCCTCCCTTTCCTCCTTCAAGGCCGGTCTCAAGACCTTTCTCTTTGACCGTGCCTTCAGCTCCCCTCTCGACTCTCTACCCCCTCCTCGCTCCCTCCCTTCCCTCCCCTCACCCTGACCATTTCCCCCCTGCTCCGGTCCTGACCCAACTGTCCAGCTCCTTGGGACGTCCTCCCGACGTGAAAGGCACTCTATAAATGGAATCTTGTTCTTGTTGTTGCCAGAATAATAATAATAATTTGTTCATTCAATCCACGACTCTTTGTGGGACACTGCTGTGCGCAAATGGTTGCCAAGTTTCGCCCACAAAATATACAGTTAATTCATTTTACAGTATGTTCTGTGAAGCGCTTTGGGATGCCTCAATGATGTGATAAGGCGCTGTATCAAATGCAAGGATTATTACTATTATGATAGCAGACTGATATTTCTGCTCCGTCTGTTTTTATCCCAAATTGTCTAGGTTGAAAAATGCTCAGCACCGGCAAGGAAGATGGCAAGTCAAGTTCACCTGTTTTAACTCCATATTTTAAAGTGTCTCTGCAGTCAACAAGAAGCTGCTCCAGAGGTTCTGGGTGATCAGACACTTTTAAGTTGAAACCATCCAATCCTTCTAGAAGCTGGTGAGGGTAATGGAAATCCAGGACCTTTGACGTTCTGTCGAATGTTTTTCTGATGTAGTTGAGGATAATTTCAACAACCTCCATCAAAAACTGCATTGTGTTTTCTTCATCATTTTTAGTTGGCAACAAATCTATAGAAAAGTTAAATAAATTTTTGGCAACAAAGATGAGAAAGAATTCTAGAGTATAAGAGCAGTAACTGAGATCCATTAAAAAAAATTTTTTTTACTGATTTTCACAGATGGTCAGTCTGGCCTAGATGGTAGCATTCTTACCTCTGAGTCAGAAGGTTGTGGGTTCAAGCCAAATGTCTGGACTTTGAATTCATAAAGTCTAAGATGATACTCCAATGCAGTGCTGGTTGCATTGTTGAAGGTGCTGTACTTCAGATGAGATATTAAATCAAGGTCCCATCTGGCAGTTCAGGTGGACATTAAAGGGCCCGTGGTGCTATTTAGGCCATAAGATCCTAAGACGTAGGAGCAGGAGTAGGCCATTCGACCCCTCGAGCCAGCCCCGCCATTTAATAAGATCATGGCTGATCTTCTAACCTAATTCCATTGTATCCACCCTATCTCCATATCCCTTAATCCCTCTATCCTTTAGAAATCTATCAACCTCAGTCTTGAATATGAATTTGGAAAGAGAAGGGATTTTCTCCCTGTGTCCTGCCGAACAATCCATCAAATATAATCCCTCAAATTCCTCATGATAATGCTAATCCCTCACTCCATAGCTGTTTGTGGGAACATTGCTGTGTGCAATTGGTCTACTTTGTTTATCCACAATCCTGTGATGCACCTTGGGATGTTCTCTCAATGTGAAAGGTACATACCAAGTGCAAGGATTATTATTATTATTGTTATAATTATCACATTCCATGTACCATTAAACAAATTTTGAAAATAAATCAGAATTTTCCTCAAATTTACTTTCTTACTTTTTACATTTACTTACTGTTTTTAAGCAAACAGTAGATCCTGGAAACCCCTGAAAAATACCCAGGTTTTATTTTGTCAATCCAGAAACACAAAAAATATTATTATTGTAATATAAATGAACTTTAATGGGTTCTTAGTAATAATTAATAGTTTAGAAATCATCAAACCACCCACTTTTTTAGATATTAAAACAATGTTCTTTCTCTTGTTTGCTTCTTGATACAATTCAAGAAAGAATACTTATAAAAGGGAAATATATTGTATTGTTCTTTATGTGCCACCTGGTTAAAGGAATAATGGACAAACTTGATTTTGAAAGTAAATCCATCAATTTACAAATAAAATGCTGGAATAGTACGAGCTTTAGCCCTTACCAGTCACTGTGATGTAAGCAAATATATGTTTCACATGATAATGATAATCATAATTCTTATGTTTGATATAGCACCTTTCATTTCAGGAGGATGTCTCAAAGTGTTTACAGGATATACTGAAGTGGAATTTTGCAGGTGAACATAGCAGTCAAGTTTTGCACAGCGATGTCCACAAACAGCCATCCAGTGAATGACCAATTTTTATTTTTAAATAATAATGATAATAATTCTTACATTCGTTAGCCACGACATCAGGAGAAACTCCCTTCTCGTTTTGAATAGTGCCATGGGACAGGTAGACTAGACATTCAGTATAATGTCTCATCTGAAGGATGGCATCTCCAACAATTCAGCACACTGCTAGTACTGTACTAAAATGTCAGTCTATGTGAGTTCCAAGTCCCAATGTGGGGCTTGAACCCACAACATTCTGATTCAGAGGCGAGAGTACCAACTGAGCCAGGCTGACTGACACCCTAAGTTTTCTAAAGCAACATGCTGAATTATTTAACAACACATAGGTATTATCATATAAATGTACAAATGGCTGTACCTTGTGCATATATGGTGGAAAAATCTGTTGTATTTTGTTCAGTTTTTGAGCCGCCATCTTTTGGCTTCATCTTTTGGAAGGTTGGATTGGAGCTCATATCTCCCTTGTCACGTGTTCTTTCCAAGAAACCTGAAATATTGAAGATTGCAATTAAAGCTCAGTGTTAATGGTGACTGGGGTATTCTGATGATTCAGTTGGCAAATTCACTGCCATATTTAAAATGATCCATATAGACGGAGAAGGCTCAATCTCCATTCTGCACTGAGTTGGTAGACTTTACCACAGTTGCACTACTACAGTTGTTCTCAGTGGCCGAGGGTGAAAATGGAGTTAGTCAGCCAGGGCGTCTGTTCCTGCTCATTACTCAGTGACCTGTGCTGGAAAATGTACATATAATAATCCTTGCATTTGATATAGTGCCTTATCACATCATTGAGTCATCTCAAAGAGCTTCACAGAATATACTAAAGTGAATTGACTGTGTATTTTGTGGGTGAAGCACAGCAGACAATTGCACACAGCAGTGTTCCACAAACAGTCATTCATTGAGTGACCAAATTATTTATTTATTAAGCCAGTCCAGAACCCTGGCATCTTGTTTGACCTTCAACTATACTTGCTACCCCACATCCGTGCCACGTCCCGCTCTGCCTTCCCCCACCTCTGCAACATCGCTTGGCTCCACCACTGTCTCACACCATAGGCCGTCGAGACCCTCATACACGCATTCATAACATTCGCGTTTGACTATGCAAACTTCTTGCTTATCGGCCTCCCCAATTCCTCCCTCCATAGGCTGCAGATCATCCAGAACTCTGCAGCCCATGTCGTCTCCTGCACCAGATTCCGTGTCCCTATCAACACCACCCTCGTCCAACTCCTCTGGCTTCCCATCACACAGAACATGCAGTTCAAGATCCTGGTCCTTACCGTCAAAGCCCTCCATGGCCTTGCTCCCCCCTAACTCTGCGACCTCCTAACCCCTTACCAACCTTCCCTCTCCCTCTGCTCAGCAGGCTCCGACCTGATTCACGTCCCCCACATATATATATGTAATATATATGTATGCAGAGTTTTGGAATATCGCAAACTTTACCTCTTGTAGCTCAGTGGTTAGAGCACTCGCCTTACAAGCGAGACACCTGGGTTCAATTCCAGGCAGAGCGAAACCTTGGGCAAGTTTCCTTACTCCACACACCTAATAATAATCCCTCCAAAAAAAAAAACAATAATAAATTGGTCATTTTCAATCCACGACTGTTTGTGGAACATTGCTGTGCGCAATTGGCTGACGCATTTTGCCCACAAATATACTGTCAATTCACTTCACAGATATTCTGTGAAGCACTTTGAGATGTCGAGAAGACGTGAAAAGTGCTATGTCAAATGCAAGGATTATTATTAATTCCTTTTTCCTTGTTTCTTGAATATGGAATGGTTTATCAGCTGACTAAAAATTTGCAAACTAAACCTGTGTTTAAATATTGAACATCCCAAAGTCCAGTATAGTGATTTGGTGTAAATTCTCTGTCACAACCTTCTGCTGATGAATGTACTCAGTAGCTACTCCTTGACACACACCATAAAATAAAGCTGATAGCAAACTCTGGGATGCTTATTTGGATTTCTCAGGCTAGTTATTTGTCCATCTCCAAAAGGACACCTGTCTTAATTGTATTTGGATTTGGCAGATATTGACCACAGTTAACATGGCGGACATTTGCATTCTAACGTAAGTCTAAAACACAAAGATAAATCTGTGACTCAATTACACCTTAACCAAATTTTTTAATGATGTGATGAGTAGCATTCTCACCTCTGAGTCCTCCAAAACCTGTCTGTCCCCCGTTGCTCCGTCCCCCTGATCAAAGCCTTCCCCCCGGCTACACATTCCAGCACATCCCTCGCCCAAACCGATGTGGCTCCTCTGACTTTGCTGCCCTCCTCTCCTCCATAAATCTAATCCTCCATATAAACTCCCCAACCCACAACTGTGGCCTCCCCCTCAATCTCATGATCATTCTTGGCATTGATATCTCCAATCTGTCCATCACAGATAAGGCCATCTTCTGACCATTTCCTTATCTCCCTCTCCTCCCGCATCCCCCTCCAAGACCTCCATCATTTTTTTTCATCATTAGCAAAAGCTTCCCCCCGACTCCACTCCCTCACAAATGCCCTTTTTCCCTCAGACCTCTTCTCCCACTGCCTTCCAACTGCAGCAATCCTGATGCAGCCATTAAGCTGCTAAACGATTGTCTCTCTGCAAAATTCAACTCTCTTGCTCCCCTGAAATCCAGGGCTGTTTCCAAATTTACTTGCTTCCCGGTATAACAACAAGAAGATTACATTTGTAGAGCGCCTTTCACGTCGGGAGGATGTCCCAAGGTGCTGGACAGCGTACAGCATTTCAGACCCGAGCTGGGGTCAGGTGGGAGAAGAAAGGGGAGAGGAAGGGGGGTGGCTGATAGCATTTTCAAAGAGGAGGATCTTGAGGTGGGACTTGAAGTAGGCTAAGGAGGGGGCGAACCGGAGTGACTAAGGAATGGAATTCCAGAGATTGGGGTCAGAGAGGCTGAAGGCTCTCCCGCCAATGGTGTGGTGAGTGGGTCGGGGGACGTGGAGCAGGCCAGAACCGGCTGAGCGGAGGGAGTGGGCGGGTTGATAGGGGGTTAGGTGGTCACAGAGGTAGGGTGGGGCGAGGCCATGGAGGACTTTGTAGGTGAAGACCAGGATCTTGAACTGGATCCTCTGAAGGATAGGGAGCCAATGGAGTCAGGTGAGATGGGGGAAATGGGGTCACGGAGTTTGGTGCGGGAGAGGATACGGTCTGCAGAGTTCTGGGTTATCTGCAGCCTGTGGAGGGGGGAGCTGGGAAGACCGACAAGCAGGGCATTTTCATAGTCGAGCCTGGAGATGATTAAGGCATGAACAAGAGTTTCAGCGGCCTGAGGGGTGAGGTAGTGGCGGAGTCAGGAAATGTTACGGAGGTGAGAGAAGTCAGAGCAGGTCATGGCTCGGATGTGGGGAAGAAAAGACAATTGAGGGTCGAACAAGACACCTAGGTTCCTGACTAGCTTGATGAGTTGAGCTGTAGTGTGCAACCATGGAGGTTGATGCTGCCAGAACCTTTCATGGGAAATGGAGAAAGAGAATAAGGAAACAAGTTTAAAAATTTAAAGAGCTGTCATGATCTGAAATATAGTGAAGCAGTTTCAAAGGGCCAAATGGTCTGTTCCTGTTCTATGCTGCTAACATGCAAATGAGATTTCTACCACATTGCAATGTTGAATCTTTGCGCAATTATTAAAACAATGATTTCAAGGAAAATTAATGCGCTATGAAAGTCAAAGATCTTTACAATGACAATGATGTGAACTTATATAATGCCTTTCGGGTAGGATTAATATCATGAAGCACTTTAGTTAAATAACAAGTACCATCACGAAGGGCGGAGAGGAAGTAGAAGTTAAGGGTGTTAACTAAACAATAACCACAAAAATAACTCGTATTTATACTATTAATAATAATATAAAGCGCCCTTCACGTGGGTGTAGCGTCTCAGAGTGCTGAAAGGTAAAAAGATTTTGAAGGAAGGGAGAGAACAGCAATGTGAAAGCACTTTGGAAGAATTCCAGAGAACCGAGACATAATGGCTGAAGACTTGGTTACCAATGGTGACTTGGAGGGAATGAGGAATGAGTCAGAGAGCATATGTGCAAGAATAGCACAGGATGAGAAGTTCTAGCTAAGAAAGGGCAAGACTGTGAAGAGACTTAAAGCTCTAGATGAGTATCTTAAAGTTAATCTTCAGGGATAGTAGGAGACAAAGGACCTTTCAGGATAATAATAATAATAATCCTTGCATTTGATATAGCGCTTTTCACGTCTTCTAGATGTGCCAAAACGCTTCATAGAATATACTGTAAAGTGAATTGACTGTATATTTGTGGGCGAACGCGGCAGCCAATTGCGCACAGCAATGTCCCACGGACAGTCGTGGATTGAAAATGACCAATTTATTATTGTTTTGTTTTGGAGGGATTATTATAAGGCTTGTGGAGTAAGGAAACTTGCCCAAGGTTTCGCCCTGCCTGGAGTTGAACTCAGGTCTTTCACTTGCAAAGCGAGTGCTCTAACCACTGAGCTACAGGACTCCACGGATGGGGATAATATGCACAGTCTGTTGGTCAGAGAGGATGTGAACTGCAAAGGTTTGGATGAGCTGTAGCTTGTGCAGTATGGAGCTAGAGAAGAGTAGGAAGATCATTGGAGAAATCAAACCTCAATGTGACAGAAAATGGAGATGGAAGAAAATGTTTAGGGTTACCTGAATATGGCATTTCAGTTCTGTTCATAGAAAACAATTCAACACACACGATCCTGTTCATTTTGGGCTATTCTCTCTTTGTTACCTTTACTTTCCACATCAGCCAGAACTTGAAGACATCCACTTGACAGCCGCACTGAACTGAAATACAGGGCTGTTTCCAAATTTACTTGCTTCCCGGTATAACAACAAGATTACATTTGTATAGCGCCTTTCACGTCGGGAGGACGTCCCAAGGTCGCTGGACAGTGTACAGCATTTCAGACCCAAGCTGGGATCAGGGGGGAGAAGGGAGTGGAAGGGAAGGGCATGGCTGATGGCATGGTCGAAGAGGAGGTTCTTGAGCGGGATTTGAAGGAGGCTAAGGAAGGGGCGAGGCGGAGTGACTGGGGGATGGAATTCCAGAGGTTGGGGGCAGAGTGGCTGAAGGCTCTCCCGCCAATGGTGGGGCGGGTGGGTCGGGTGATGTGGAGCAGGCCGGAGCCGGCTGAGCGGAGGGAGCGGGCGGGTTAATAGGGGGTTAGGAGATCACAGAGGTAGGGTGGGGCAAGGCCATGGAGGGCTTTGTAGGTGAGGACCAGGATCATGAACTGGATCCTCTGAAGGAAAGGGAGCCAATGGTGTAGGGCAAGAATGGGGGAGATGGGGTCGCGAAGTTTGTTGCGGGAGAGGACACGGCTGCAGAGTTCTGGATTATCTGCAGCCTGTGGAGGGAGGAGTTGGGAAGGCCGACAAGCAGAGCGTTTGCATAGTCGAGCCTGGTAGTGATGAAGGCATGAACAAGAGTTTCAGCAGCCT